TCATTTTCGATGCTTGTTTTTTGTAGTAAAATGTCGATTTCGATGGTTGTGAAATGGAAAAATTCCATTTGAAATGGAAAAATTAGAGCCTTCACAGAGCAAAAAGGTTAAGAAAAAGATTACCAGAGAATCCCTTAAAAATTTGAAACGCACTGACACTTTCACAGCCCTTTAGACTTCTTAGATAATTAGACAATTAGAATATCAAATCGCTTCCTTTTCATCTTACAAAAGATTTTAAAACTTTATTTTGGACAATTGAAAGGACAACAAAATATGGCAGAAAAAATACCAATAGTCTGTCAATTTAAAAGATGGAAACAATGATAGAAAGCGACAAAAATATACCATGAATCATCCAAGAGTGATTTTAATAATTTTAATTGATGGGGACGTGGAAGGCCAAAAAGTAATCCGTTTTGCGTTTGTCGTACAAGCAGATGCAGTCCTTGGTTGAATCAAAACGTCGACGGAACATTGAGCTTTCTTCCATGAAGACACCATCACGGCGATAATATCGAAAATTCCTGGCAAGATCGTTCGCCTGTTTGAGAAGTGGAAGACGATTCTCTCCATCGATTCGTCGCATTCCTGGATATTGTGAGAGAACTATCGTGAAGTCAAAGTTATTTGAATCAAGGAAAATAGCAGCCTCAGGGTTCTTGCTCGGGATTCCATTGGTGATGATCTTTTGAATAATCAAATCCATGCAATCCCCTGAACTAGTCTGCATAAAAAAGTTTTTGATTTGAGACTTCGACAAGGCGTTGTAGAAAAAGCGAACTGAATCTTCAGTATGACAGCAAAACCTAATCATCTCGCAATCCTTGAGTTGAGGTCCCACCATAAATTTCTCCATCGAATCTTTGATCACTTGATCACTGAAAGCTCTGCCGTTGATCTCCGCTTTTTTCTTGATCGATGCGTGGAAATTTGAGAAGAATCCCTCGAGGGCTTCTTTTGAAGTCTTGAATAGCAGTACTAATTGATTCACCGACTTCAAATTGTTCAGAAGTGTATATTTCCCGTTGAATTGATGATCGAACAGAGACCACAATTGGTCGCAAGATCGGATCTTCTTAACGAAAGAAAAGTGAGAAAAGAGACGATCGACATCGAGCTGCATTTCATCTGAATTGGAAAACTTCTTGATCCTAATCGGATTATCGCATAATAGAATCTCAGAGACGTGTTTTCCAAAAACGATTGACGGATCCCTCGCCAGCATCCCTTGAAATCCTTGATTCACCTTGGCCAACTCATACACACCCCTTGGTTCCATTTGTTCCAACGCTTCCAATTTCAAATCGAAGCACAACTTCTCCATTGGAAATGACCTCAAACTCTTCATTTCGATTGACACCATTCTTCCACCTATAAATAAAAAGATTAGACTTTGTTCTGACATAAAGAGGCGCTTTACAGATAACGGAAATGTTAGGAAATAGTGACATTGAGATATAGCTGGAATAAGTCACAAATAAGTCAATCCGTCAAGAAATCGACAACTGCTTCAAACAGTAACTTCATCATCGAACAATGTTTTATAAATTTATTCCGAGTAACAACAATAAAGAGAAAAGCTAGTAAAACATAGCAAAAAGCAACAACATTCTAATCGGTCAACATTTATAAATCTAAACAATCACAAAAATTATAGCATTAAGCATCAAATCGATCATTTCACTCACGTGGCATGTAGAAATAATTAGACAATTCTCATCGGTCATACTTTTAAAGACTTCAAGAGCTCTTTCAGCAGTGACAATGATTTTGCGCTCCTAAAGTTTAATAGGTTGTTAGTAGCTCCATTAAAGTTTTTACTTGTGTATCCTCATTCAAATTTTTCTTCCATTCACCATGAATGTCAAGGCCAACCTGATAGCGTCGACAGCCACCTTGCCGAGTTGGTTTGTCTGGATCAACTTCTTCAGCTTCCTACAAACCATTAACATTAAAAATTGAGCAAGTAAACAATAACACGATAAATAGTAGCCGTCCATCGACTGGAACCTCCGTGCCAGTATCACAAACATTCTTTGTCTTGCATTTGTCGTAAATCATAGCAAGTCGTTTCCGTGGATTTCCCTAAAGTTAATCAATTATACACCAGAAAATTCAGTTTACCTGTGTTTTCTTCAGAATCTCTTTGATTCCAGGATTTTCCTTGTTTTTTTTCCAAAAAGTACGGGTCGAAAGTATCTTGTTTCGCAACTGTAGTTTTATTTATCATGTAGATGCAATTTCTTCATCATGCATGTAGATGTAGATTCTCCATCGATTTATTTCGTTTCTGAGTACTCCATGAGAAAGGAACCCATTTAACCATCAATCACCCAAGTGTAAAAACCGACTTCCGAATTTTTGGTTGGATGCTCAGCGATCCAGTAAACGATCAGCTTCAAGGTTTCAAACGAATTCATCTTAAAAACTTTGATCCGTGTCTTTGCCAAAGACATTGTATCAAGCATAGAAGAGATACTCCGAACGATTCTTCAGTTTGATTTTCTCACATTCTTCGTTGTTGTTGTTGTTCTTCGATGACTTCCAATTTTCAAGTTGATCGTTCAGGGATTGATCTTCGACGACTGAATCGAATTCAAAAATCAGAGTTGTCTGCGCGAATGCGTGGGGATATTGAAAAGAATTTCTCGACATCGTTCTCTAGAAGAATTTGACATTCAATTGATCACCGTCTTCAATTCTTTCAAGAATGCTTCATGCTTGACTTCGATGATTGACGAATCATGAGAAGACCAAAGCTTCAATCCGTAACACGAAGTGATGCATTCAAAGGATGGTGGGGATCGATATCCAAGTAAAATCGTGGTGAAATTTCTTGGTGTAATTACCCAAAACTATTCAACAAAAAAAGCAAAACAATTCCTTTGCGTCCTTTTTTTTCTGGAACCTCCTTTCAGTAGATCGTAGCACAATTTTTCCATTGGGAACGTCTTGAGATTCAGCATCGAGAACGAAAGAAACGCATCTTCACCGGCTCCACTCTTATCTTGATTCAACTTCTTCATCGGAAATGGCGGAGTTGATCCATCAATCGTTCCATTTTCTTCTCCATTTCGATCCTCATTTCCCTTTTCAATTTCTCATCGCTAATTGACAATCAATCACTTGAGATATCAAACCATACGTCAGCCCCAAAACATCCAGCCAGAAAAACCCCTTGTTAGGCAGATTTTTCGGCTGGTAGAAATCTCATCTCAGCATTCTCATACCTGAAAATAAAAAGATATCATTTGTAAAATTCAAAGTAAATGATTTTTCGACTAGGCTACTATCAAAAAAAAGGAACCACGATCGTACAGCCGTTGTTAGACAAAATCAAATATATTCTTAAGACTTAAGATATAATCTTAAGACTAAAACTAAAAGCTTGCAACTTGGACTTCTCAAAAAACTTAAAAGCGAAAGCGAGAAAAGGAATCGAGAAGATTGGCGACTTTCCCGATTGATCGAGAAGATCGCACAACATCTCGATCAAAGATACTTTTAAAAGCATACAACTTTACTCATTCAGATTAAAGCATACTTTTAATCATTTATTGATGGGCATTCTTTAAAACTCAGCATAGAACACGAACACAACATAGAAATAAGTAAAAATGGCATTGAAGTAAAATAAGTAAATAAGTAAAATTAAATTCCATTAGAAAAGATTAAAAATCAATCACATCGTTGAACTTGGTAAATAAAATTATTAAATATCGTGAAGCTAATAAAGCGATCATTTCATTGAGGTGACATGTAGAAAACCATTTCACCCTCGGACCAAAGAGGCCAAGTGTCAAAGAACAGTTTCTTGAGCCCACACAGTTTCTTGAGCTCTTCAAAAAGTGGTAAACGATCATCTCCATGAATTTGTTGTATCCCTGGGTAATTTGTCAGAAAAGCAATCGTTTCAGCCGGAATCACGCAGCGTTCGAAACGTCCGAGGAAGCTGGCGTGTGGATTTTGGCTCGGAATTCCATGTTTGACAATCGTTTCAACATGCCATTGAATTGAATTGTCACTTTCAATTTCAATCAATTTGATTTGTGTTTTTGACAAAGAGTTGTATAAAATGGGAAACATCTTGTCGTGAAAGATCTTGAAAACTCCTTGAAAATATCCAAAAACTAGACTGACTTTCTCACACTCACTCAATTGAGTCTCGATGAAGTATCCAAGTTCCATCAATTCTATTCTCCCTAAAGTTATTTTCGCACTCTTTTTGATCGATGAGCGAAAGTTTGCGAAGAATTGCTTCCAAAGCCAACTCCAGCCATCCAACTCCAATTCATTTACCGACTTCAGCTGTCTTAAAATCGCTTCATGGCCCGCATTGATGTCTTCCGCAAACATATCATGGATGTTTCGTAGCTCCAATTTCTCGCACGAATGAATACGATTGATCGATTGAAGATCGCCCGAAATGTCGATAACCCAAGAGAATGAGTTTGGGAATTTCCTGATATATATGTAACGCTTGCCGAGATCCATCCTGGAAACGTGCTCTTCAAAAACGATCGATTGGTTATTTGAATAAAACGAGTAGAGTCTCTTGTTAGTCATCATCAAATTCATCACATCTCCTGGATCAAGATGTCGCACGATCTCCTCGATCAATTCCAACGGGAAGTCGCCAAGCTTCACCATTCTTTCGTCTTCTCGCTTTTGAGCCAGTATCTCAACCGGCAGTTGTCTCACCGCAGGCTTGGCTTTGCTCGCTTCGGCCTTGGGCATCACACGACCAATCGGTTTATCAGAGAAATGTTTCTCCATAGCTTTGATGAAATCACGTTTCTTATCTGAATATTAGAAACGCTTACTTTGTATATAATGTATATAATGTTTATAATGTTTATAATGTTTTCTGTGCTTTAGTCCGATCTGACAAGCTTAATGCAAGTCTAGTAATTGATTTTGACTGGAATACTTGATTGAAAAGTTAACTCTATCTTTTAAGGAAGCATTCTATCGTTACAGAAGCATCCCCTTCCTCACTCACCCATAATGTCGTAACGATGATCGATAATTTCGGTGCCGTCCTGCTTGTCCATGCCGTGGGTCGAGTCGACATGATCGTCGCTAAAAGTTTGAATAGTGCGTGAAGAAACAACTTCTTGAACAACTACTGCCGTGGCTAACAGCTTAAACTTGACAGTCGTTTACTCTTGATTTAATATTTCTTGCTCAAAAGTCAATTATTGATATGAAGTGACTCACATGCACATTTTATAAACGGTCTCATAATCGAAGCAGTCGTGATGCCATTGATTCCGACAGCAGAACACCATCTCGTTGCGGCCAACTGAAATCCAAAGCGTAAATTGACAGTGAAACCTTATGTTAGTCTTTTGTTAAATTTCAATTCAATAGTTAATTTTAAAAAACTCACAGAAATTTCCGCAATAAGTGCAGTTCAAGAAGGAGTAAGCTTGCTCGAAAAGAGACATTTCCAAAACAAAGTCGAAGATCAGCGAATCTAAATTGAAAAATAGGTAAAAAGAAAAGCTTTTGGAAGTAAAAAGTGAGGGGAAATGAATTCTCCTTTGAGCAATCTTTCTTTTTATATCGCTACCAATTGATACGGTTCGGGCATTATTCGAGATCTGCTGGCCAAGGGGGACGGAGAGACAATTTGTGCCAACAGCTCTATTGGCTAACGGCTAACGTCAAAATAAACGAGAAATTGCGAAAGAGAACAATAATTGAATGGAAAATGGGGAATTCGACAATCTGGGATTATTGATTTGATCAGGATTTTTGAAGATTGATTTGAGGTTGAGGCACCGTTGACGTTGAGGTTGAGGCACGGCGCTAGGGGAATCGATAGATTCATAGACCAACTATCAATAAATAAAAAGCGATGAAAGTGAAAACAGGTGAAACCACTCGATTGATCTTTGATTCAGTGTTTCTTCTTTCTTGATCGATGCGTGGAAATTCAAGAAGAATTTCTCGACGGCTTCTTTTGAATTCCATTGCAGCTCCAATCGATTCACCGACTTCAAATTCTTCGGAAGTTTGTATTTATGGTTGAATTTATTCATCCAGAACGATAAGCAGCAATCGTGAACGATCTTGTCGAATTGATGATTCATCAGAAACGACAATTGGTCGCACGGTCGAATCCTCTTGACGAAAGAAAAGTGAGACAAGAGACGATCGACATTGAGCTCCATTTTATTTGAATTGGAAAACTTCTTGATCCAAATCCTTCCATTGTATAATTCAATCCGAAAGGCGTGCTCTCCAAAAACGATTGACGGATCCCTTACGAGCATCCCTTGGAATCCTTGATTGGTCACCTCATACACATCTTGGTTCCATTTGTTCCAACTTCATCCAGATGATAAAGTGAAACTCAATAGACGCATAAACGTAGATACAAAAGAAAGATACGAAGATACGAAATTTAGTGAATATGCAAATAATCGGATCACCTCTGGCGGCGCTAGATCTAGAGCATCGATTTATTTCTTGAAAATGGAAAGTGGCTGAATTTCTCGTATGGGATTAGAGAGCAAGTTCCATAACCTACCGGTTCTAACGGGAAATGAGTTTCATAAAGAAGCATCAGACGCAAAGGAATCTACAAAAGGAATGAACCACTTCTGGACTCTGATCTCGAGTTAAATTTGAAAAATTCAACAAAAAAGGGTTAATCCGTTTGCAACGCAGGATTTTGTAAGTTCCGACTAGATCAATGACAAAGCGAAGATGTTGTAAAGTATTTAGTTCAAAAAGAGCAAGTCTATCCTAGCAATATTTTCCTCAAATTTACGTCCACATTTCGAGAGTTTATTCAGTTCATTATTAACCAGAGGCTCGATTAAGGATTTTCAATAATAGGAACGACGAAGAAATATCGGCTAGTCATTCAAGTGGGATCATTAAAGGCGAATGACCACAATCGATGGAATTATGTGGCGAATGACCACATAATTCCATCGATTTTAGGAGACTAGCGCAAAAGATGTCATAATCTTCGTCAGAATTTGAGGAAGCATAAAAATCTGATCGATTTAGAGAATCTAGTATACACACCGCCGCTTTGTCAGAATCAAAACCACAATGCAAACAGACTTGATCCCTTTCCTTCGGAGTAAAACAGTTTGAAGGAATTTTGAAACCGATCCAGAGATGGTCAGAGCCCGGAAGAGGCGGCAAACTTTGCAGATCGATTACGTCGTGCAGACAGTCATAAATCACCATATCTAAAATAGAAGAAGAGCGGCAGAAAGTAGGAAATGTATTTGAAATGAAAAGAGAGCTCGTAACAAGGAAGCTTTCAAGTGAAACAGTGGGGTGATGAGACCTATCGAATGACAATAAAAGAAATTACCTATACGAAAAAGTTCACAAACAATTTCACACGATACTAAAGTAATCACAGCAAAACAATATGGATCAGGACAATGCGGGAGTGGGACAAATGCGACCTTTTATTTTGCGCACCCGGACATTTGCGCACCTTTTTTTCCGCACTTAGCCCATTAGCGCACCCTTTTTCGCGTTTTAAAAAAGCTCTAAAAGCGAATATTAACCAATTTCTATTCCAAAAGTTGTTTTTCTAGGTAATTTGAGGGTGTTGAATTCAAATTTTGAAGGGCTTAGAATCGAAAGTTTGGCATATCAGAGCTTGTGGAAGCGAACGGACGGAGTTATACAAAGAGAAAAATCAAATCAACAATTTTCTGTAATTTGACCTAGCGGTTTTTTCTTTCAAATTGGTTCCACACGCTCTGTTATGTTAAAATTTGAATTCAACACCCTCAAATTACCTAGAAAAACAACTTTTGGAATAGAAATTGGTTAATTTTAGCTTTTAGAGCTTTTTTAAAACGCGAAAAAAGGTGCGCTAATGAGCTAAGTGCGGAAAAAAAGGTGCGCAAATGTCCGGGTGCGCAAAATAAAGGTAGCATTTGTCCCACTCCCGGACAATGCAGAACAAGAAAGCTCTATCAGGTTAATTTTGTTTAACTCTCTTTTGTACAAAAAGGGAATGGAAAGTAATCGAATTGAGGTAAAACAAGTGGAATAAAACTCTATTTTTAACTATTACCTTCCAGACATACCTACGAATAGCGGACGTGGCTGCCGATTGAAACACTCAGACAATCCGACTCGTTTGAAATCGATAAACGAGTCAGTCAAGCAAGTCACTAAGAAGAACTTACAATAAAATGAAGGATTGCTTGAAAACAAACACAATTACAACAAACAACACTGAAACCGACACACTTGTTTGGTCGATTCTGACAGGTGCGTTAATCAATGCCTAAAAAGGCTCCTACAAGAACAAACTTGGGATCTGAGCTGCCGATCGAATAACCAATAAAGTATCTAACCAAGATTGAGTCAATCCATTACGTCAACAACGAATTTGGAGTTCGAACAACAGAATTTAACTTTTGAATTCAACTTGTTACGGATAGATAAAATCCATTAGAATGGCGATATAAAATGATCAGATTAGATAAGCCTTTTCTTCAGCGATGTCCAACTCGAAACGAAAAAGGCCAAGCGGAAAGAGAGAATGATTCGGAGAAAAATCGATTGGTATTCAGGCATCTTCCCCAGAAAACCTTATTTTTGGGTTTACAAATTAATTTTTAACAGGAGCCACAAACATTTATAATCATACTTTATTCATGGTGCATGAAAAAAGGGAGCCGAATATGTAAATACATAGAAGGAGCCGCTTTTGGCTTAGAAAACATAAACGTACAGAAAAGAATTGAAAATTGAATTGAAATTATCTTTTTCGTTTTGAAATTATCGTTAAGAAAGTTTAGAAATTAAGTCAAATTCAAGTATCTTAGGGAAAGGAATTGAATACAAATTCAATCTCAGACATTTAAATTCAAATTAACGGAGATTAAATTTCAAATTCAAACACGAGTAGACAGAATGAATAAACAATCAACTAGTCACAAGAAAGAGTCATGGCAAACTGGCATTAACCGCCAAAATTTAAATGTTTCGGTTTGATAAATCTCCGAGTTTGAGATTAGTTAATGCTAGCTTAAAGGCAAAAACAGAATTTAAAGCACGCAAAGGCAAAGTAAGGCTAGCAAAATACCACAATAAAACATCAATGATCGATCATTTCATCGGGATTGATGTAAAAGGCGAGAAGTTCCAAATTCAAATTCATCCAAGGACAACATACATGTAGATGCAATCTCACGTCGCATTGATATTTCGTCTGAAACACAGAGTTTTCATCGTCAAAGCGGGATATCTGCTTCCCCTCCCACGATCGCTTGCCAATGCAATGAATGGTTGACGATTTTTCCCGTTGATTTGTTTCATTCCTGGATATTTCTTGAGAAAAACAACGATGGTAGACTTCATATCGTATAAAAAATCGTCGAAAATTCTCACAACCGCTGCGGGTTTTTTGCTCGGAATTCCGTGGCTAACAATCCTTTGAATGGCTGGAACGAATTCGTTGTAACAACCGATTACAACATATTTGATGTGGGTTTCATATAATATCAAATATCAAATAATATCAAATCATTGTCTTTTCATTTCACAAAAGTTTTGAAAACTTTATTCTGAATAATTGAAAGCCAACCACATATAACAGATAAAACACCAATAATCTGTCAATTCAAAAATGGAAACAATGATAGAAAGCGACAAAAATATTCAATAAACCATCAAAGAGTGATCATTTTAATCGACGGGGATGTAGACGGCCAAGAAGCTTCCAATATCTTCATTGTCGTAAACGTAGATGCAGTCGTTGGTTGAATCAAAACGTCGACGGAAAATTGAGCGTCCTTCCCTGAAGTAATCAAAACCCCAAAAATCAGAATATCCAAAGTTCATCACAAGATCGTTCGCCTGTTTGAGAAGTCGAAGACGATTCTCTCCATCGATTCGTCGCATTCCTGGATTCTGTGAGAGATCTATCGTGGAGCCAAAGTTACAACCACCAACGAAAATAGCAGCCTCAGGGTTCTTGCTCGGGATTCCATTGGTGATGATCTTTTGAATAATCAAATCCACGCAATCCCTTGAATCAATACGCATAACAACGTTTTTAATTTCAGTCTTCGACAAAGCGTTGTAGAAAAAGCGAACTGAATCTTCAGTATGACAGCAAAACCAAATCATCTCGCAATCCTTGAGTTGAGGTCCCGCCATAAAATTCTCGATCCAATCTTTGATCAATTGATCATTGAAAGCACTGGAGTTGATAGTCACTGTTGCTTCTTTCTTGATCGATGCGTGGAAATTTGAGAAGAATCCCCCGAGGGCTTCTTTTGAATTCTCATGCAATACTAACCGATTCACCGACTTCAAATTGTTCAGAAGTGTATATTTCCCGTTGAATTGATGATCGATCAGAAACAACAATTCGTCGCACGATCGAATCCTCTTGACGAAAGGAAAGTGAGAAAAGGGATGATCGACATTAAGCTCCATTTCATTTGAATTGGCAAACTTCTTGATCCAAATCCTCCAATCGACAAATAGAATCCGATAGACGTGGTCTCCAAAAACGACCGAAGGATCCCTTACCAGCATCCCTTGAAATCCTTGATTCACCTTGGCCAACTCAAGCACATTCGCTGGTTCCATTTGTTCCAACGCTTCCAATTTCAAATCGACGCACAACGTCTCCATTGGAAATGACCTCAAATTCTTCATTTCGAACCGCATGACTCTCACCTGCAAATAAAAACATTAGATTTTGTTTTGACATAAAGAGGTGCTTTACGGATACCGGAAATGTTAGGAAATAGTGCAATTGAGGTACAAATAAAGCTAGAATAAGTCACAAATAAGTCAATCCATCAAGAAATCGACAACTGCTTCAAACAGTACTTCATCATCGAACAATATTTTATACATTTATTCAACGTAACAACGATAACGAGAAAAGCTAGCAAAGCATAACGAAAAGGTACTAAGGCAGTTGGGGCAGAACTTGAAAATTTCTCAAATGTAGTTTTTGTAGGGTAATTGATGGCTCTGACCACGAACAAAACATTTTTAAGTCAGTCAATGTTTTTTCGTGGTCAACGGTAATGTGTAGAGGACGTACACTTCATGCCACACAGATGTCGGCGAAATCACATACTAAACAAAAAGTTGTTCAGTGTAGCTTAAGCTTAATTGATCATAATCAATTGCCTTCAAGAATCTCTCAAAAGTACTTTAAACTTTAGACGCCAACCAAGCCATCATTGCGACAACAGCGTATCCCCGCCAGATTTGTTTCTTTTGTATATTTGATCGTCAGTCGAATTGTTGCCAAAAGATAAGATAGCGAATTATGATTCCTGAAACAAAAAGTAAAATAAGAAACACTTGTTCGCACCTGAATCACGATGGCCCCGAGTTGGATGGCGGAGAGCGGCCATTCTGTGAAATTTCGCCGGCGAGTTGCCAGGGTGGATGATTCGAATGGTCGCATTAGTGGCCTACATGCAATCGTATTGGCACCTAAATGAGATGATTAGTTTTGCGTGTCAAAAAACTCACCGAGTTCTCACGAAAAAACTCAAAAAACGCTGCCTGCTCCAACCGGGCTCGCTCAATCGTTATGGGCCGTGTTCTTTTCGGGATCGTGAAGTGCATTCGCGGTAGTGTGGCTAAATTTGAGAATAATTTTAAAAAGTGCTGATACTGCTTAGAAGATTAAAAGTACTACTCAATATTTTCAGTGCTAAAGTGGTTTTGCCACTTCCAAGAGCGCAAAATCAAGCTTAACTCCACTTCTCTTAACCATAAGCCTACTTCTAACAGCAACAACGCAACGCAGATCTACCCATACTTCTTCCCAGTTAGGCTTAACCACTTACGTGCTAATGCCCGAGTGACCCACTAGTCGAATCCATGAAGAGAAGCGCGAAGACGACAAGCAAAACGACAAGCGGTCATTGACGAGGGAAGAGAGAGGCCCGACATCAACGAACATGTGATGGCTCTAAAAATGCACATTGTGTTCGTTGATAATAGAAAGAATGCGAAAATCGAGAAGCAAAATCAGCAACTTAAGAAAAACAACCACCAAGAGCAGCTCCAAAAATTATTTGTGAGAAATGGATAAATAAGTATGGGGATTAGTAGCTTTAAGTAGTGTGGAGCGGGAAGGAGTAAATAGAGAAGAGACTGAGGGGGCAGGCTTGGTCAGACCAAGGAGAGGTCCCAGGGTAGAGCTAGACCCAGGCCTGCTGGGCCGATAAAATTGAAAACTACTAAAGCAAATATGCAAATTGGCTAGTGTGCGCTCCAGATGAAGAAATGGCTTCAAAATTTTGGTCCTAGCTCAATTGGAAAAGAGGAAAGGAATTACCCCGAAAAGCTACCCATTCAGAAGGCTAAAAACTTGGAACTTATAAGCCAAACGGCTAGTGTGCGTTCCAGCTGGATAAATGACTTGAACAATTTTAAATATTAATCGAAATTCACGGACCATCCGGCGGTTTCACGATTCCAACCGCTTTTAGCTTCGTCTCTGTCTCGTCGACTTTCGATTCCCGCCGCTCGCGCTCGTCTTTTGTTCAATCAAATGGGAAAAATTAATGTTCAATGAAATGGAATTTGCTTCTGAAGCTCTGAACCCAAGTCAGCGATCCGTTTGATTAAGACACACCTTTGAAAAAGAACAAATCGAAAAATATAAACATCATTATTTTTAGTGCTAAATGTGATTCTGAAAACAACTTTGCCTTCATTTTACAATTTCTAATTACTGTTTAAAAGCAGCCGAGAAATGGAAGCAAAATCACAAAGAGACCCAAAAGATAAAAATATGAAAAAAGGGATTAAAGAAGTGAAAAGAAAGTTTTGTAGTGGCTTCAATCGTAGTGCTGAATTGCGTTGTTTTCTCTCCAATTGTGGTCTGAGCACTTTCTGTTGATATAGTCATTAGTGTTGTTGTTGTTGTTGTTGGTGTTGTTGCTGTTGTCATTCCTATTTCTGTTGTTGTGGCAATGGTGGCGTTCGGCGGTGCTGGGGTCGGTCTCACGTAGGGCACAAAGGGTTCCATGTCGGATACATACGCCTAGAAATTGCAAAGCTGCGCTGTGGTCTTGGTCAAAACTTTCGGTGCATACTATTGGGTTGGCCGATAAGTAATGAGTCCATTTTAAACAGAAATATTTATTCAATAAAGCCATATATTAGGTTGTCCAGTTATGAGTGCGCGCCTGCTCTTGAACAGCGTACCTTAGGGCTATACAATTTTATCAAACCCTATTCTCTATATGCTGTTCAAGATTTCTTATTTATTACAACTTTTCGTGTTTTTGACGTTAAACTATTTTGATTTAATTTCCGTGTTTAGATGACCGAGACGAAGTTTCGTCTTTGTGCCAGTCTTTGGTATGACTTCAAATTGGGCAAAAATGCCGCTGAATCTCATCGAGATCTCTGCAAAGTATTTGGCGAAGATGCTACTTCGGAAAGCCAGTGTTGCCGATGGTTTCAACGATTTCGAGAAGGAAATGAATCTTTGGAAGACGAAAACCACCAACGACGGCCTCCTGCGATCAATAATGCAGTACTGAAGCAGGCGATAGAAATGGATCCTCGACAAACTAAACCTGAACTTGCAGAAATATTTAGAGTAAGCCCTCAAACAATTTCCAAGCATTTAAATCAATTGGGGAAAACAAGCCGACGCGGGAAATGGGTTCCTCATCTTCTCAGCAATGCCAATAAAGCTACTCGTGTCACTATGGCGGGCATTCTTCTTCCTTTGGCAAAAAATACTGGGTTTTACGATGAAATCCTTACTTGTGATGAAAAATGGACTCAATATGATAATTCTACACGAAAACGGCAATGGCTAGAACCTGGTGAGGAGCCAACACCAACGCCAAAACCCGACTTTCATGGCAAGAAAGTAATGCTTACTGTCAGCGGTGTGTAGGCGAGCATCGTCATGCCATTGCCATGCAGCAATATGATCTTTTTCAGATCTGGTCTTTTTGTCTCAAGGGCTTAAGCCCGATTCTGAAGTTGATTAGTGTATAGTTGAGCGCTAAGTGTTTGCTTGCCATCCTATAACTTCTAGCACTCCCAGTATCCAATAACTCCCAATAACTCCCAATTTTGTATACTTTTGTTCTGTGGTCTAGAGCTATACTTGAAGTTGAGCATTTATCGAACCAAATTAGCATAACATGCTGAATATGCACAATTACTTATTGACTCATTATTTAATGGCCAACCCAATAGGTTGATGTGAAAGAAATTTCGGTCGGTATAAAATGTTCTATTTTTTGATCCGGAAATCTTATTTAATTGTCTTTTGTTTAGTTGTACTCTTGAATGTTTACTTTTGCGTGGAAATTCAAGAAGAATTTCTCGACGGCTTCCTTTGAATTCGATTGCAGCTCCAATCGACTCACATCGATTCAAATTCTTCAGTTTGTATTTTTCGTTGAATCGATGGGGCTTCCAGAACGACAAGCGATCGCACGATCTCCAAAAACGATTGACAAATCCCTCACGAGCATCCCTTGGAATCCTTGATTCACCTTGGCCAACTCATACACATCCCTTGGTTCCATTTGTTCCAACGCTTCCAATTTCAAATCGAAGCACAACGTCTCCATTGGAAATGACCTCAAATTCTTCATTTCGATCGACTCCATTCTTCCACCTATAAATAAAAAGATTGGACTTTGTTTTGACATAAAGAGGCGCTTTACAGATAACGGAAATGTTAGGAAATAGTGAAATTGGCTTGGGATAGCCGGGCCGTGAAGGCCTACAAGGGTTGTAAGCTTGAAAAAGTCAACCAATCAAGAAAACGACAACTGCTTCAAACATTAACTTCATCATCGAACAATATTTCATAGATTTATTCAACGTAACAACAATAACGAGAAAAGCTAGCAAAAGGTACTACGAAAAGGTGCAGTTGGGGGAGCACTTGAAATGTGCACAAATGTCATTTTTCTAGGGTAATTGATGGCTCTGATCACGAACAAAACATTTTTAAGTCATGTTTTCAATTAGAAATTTATGTGCCTCTGTGGTGCCGAGCCAAAGCCTGGGAAATCTAGGGACATGTCTTTTTCAAAAAACAAAGAAAGTTAATGCTTAGTACATGCTTTTTAATCGAAAACATAACTTGAAAATGTTTTTTCGTGGTCAACGGTAATGTGTAGAGGACGTACACTTGATGCCACACAGATGTCGGCGAAATCACATACTAAACAAAAGTACAGTGTAGCTCAAGCTTAATTGATCATATTCAATTGCCTTCAAGAATCTCTCAAAAGTACCCACGAAATCGTCGATCCACTCGGTCACCCAACAATCGACACAATGAAAAATCGTCGACGAGAACCTAAAGCCAAAACCTTTTTGATTGAAACTTTAAACGCCAACCAAGCCATCATTTCGACAACAGCGTATCACCGCCAGATTTGTTTCTTTTGAATATTTGATCGCCCGTCGAGTTGTTGCCAAAAGATAAAATAGCGAATTATGGCTCCTGAAACAAAAAAGTAGAATAAGAAACACTTGTTCGCACTTGAATCACGATTTCACCGAGTTGGATGGCGGCGAGCGGCCATTCTCTGCGAAATTTGGCGAGTTGCGAGGTTGGGTGATTCGAATAGTCGCATTAGTGGTCTACATGCAATCGTATTTGCACCTAAATGAGATGATTAGTTATGCGCGTCAAATAAAAAACTCACCGAAAACATGGCTGCCTGCCCAAATCGTTCGTTCAATCGTTGTGGGCATCGGTGTTCTCCTCGGCATCATCAAGTGCATTCGCGCTAGTGTGGCTAAACATGAGAACAATTTTAAATAGTGCTGATACTGCTTAAAAGAGTCAATATTTTCAGTACTAAAGAGCGCAAAATCGGCTTAACTCCACTTCCGGCAACCATAGCCCTACTTCTAACAGTCACAAAGCAACGCAAATCTACCCTTACTTCTTAGTTAGGCTTAACCACTTACATGCCAATCCCCCGCTGATCCACTAGTTGAATCGATGAAGAGAAGCGCGAAGACGACAAGCAAAACGAGAAGCGGGTGTTGACGAGGGAAGAGAGCGGCCCGACATCAACGAACATGTGATGGCCCTGAAAATGCACATTGTATGCGTTGATAATAGAAAGGATGCAAAAATCGAGAAGCAAAATCAGAAATTTAATAAAAACATAAAACTCAAGAGCAGCTCCAAAAATATTGTGAAAACTTTTGCGCAAAACATTCTTTTATACCTCATCAAGCCATTGAATTCTATTGGTTTAATTAACTGAATATTTTTACTTTTCTGTGCAGGAAGCGCCTGCTTTTACAGTGCATATAGTTTTCGAGTGTCCCCCTCTCTGAATTTTCAGTTGTCCATATAAAGGTGATCCAAAAAAAAGTGGCTCACTTCGCGTACCTGAAACATTTTTGCTCTGAGTTTTGATGGCATATTGTGGTTTCAGAATTGGTTTTGCCTCAGGGGTCACACATTGACACAAAGTTAGTTCTTCGAAAATTTCCTCTAGAGGGGTGATATGATGGTCGAAGACTCAAAATCACCAAAATACCCGTAATGGGACTTCTTAATTTATTTATTTCACCAGAAATCCTTTTATTTTTTATTTCTAATAATTTGTGTTGACCTCCTTAATGTCTATGATAATATTTCAGGGTGCACTGTCGGGCCGTCCATTTCAGAAAACGCCTGAAAATCGGGGATTTTTGAGGAAGAATATCCTTCTGTAGCTTCTATCTTAGCATCAGGAAACGGTTATCTTTTTGGAATTCACTTATTTTCACTAAGTCAACACTATACTCGAATATCAGCCATAAACGTGAAATTTCAGATTTGGTCAATTTTTTTGATGACCGATTTCGATTCAGTTTTTAGTCCCTTTCTCAAAAACTAGTAAACCAGCAAAATCCTGAAAATCCATCGTAGTTTTGCTGAGTCAAACCTTCAAAGATCGAAAGCTTTAAAAAAAATGAAATTTTACAAAATTTCTTGAAAAGTGAGGTTTTGTCAAATTTCCCTCGTTTTCGGTGTGGCCCTAACGAATTTTTCTCGAATTTTCAAAAATTTCATTGTCGATGCTTGTTTTTTGTAGTAAAATGTCGATTTCGATGGTTTGAAATGGAAAAATTCGCAAATTAGAGCCTTCACAGAGCAAAAAGGTTAAGAAAAGGATTACCAGAGAATTCCTTAAAAATTTGACAACTTCGAAACGCACTGACACTTTCACAGCCCTTTAGACTTCTTAGATAATTAGACAATTAGAATATCAAATCGCTTCCTTTTCATCTTACAAAAGATTTTAAAACTTTATTTTGGATAATTGAAAGGGCAACAAAATATGGCAGAAAAATACCAATAATCTGTCAATTTAAAAGATGGAAACAATGATAGAAAGCGACAAAAATATACAATGAATCATCCAAGAGTGATTTTAATAATTTTAATTGATGGGGACGTGGAAGGTCAAAAAGTAATCCGTATTGCGTTCGTCGTACAACCAGATGCAGTCCTTGGTTGAATCAAAACGTCGACGGAACATTGAGCTTTCTTCCCTAAAGCCATCATAATATCCAGAATTCCTCGCAAGATCGTTCGCCTGTTTGAGAAGTCGAAAACGATTCTCTCCATCGATTCGTCGCATTCCTGGATATTGCGAGAGATCTATCGTCAAGTCAAAGTTATAATCAAGGAAAATAGCAGCCTCAGGGTTCCTGCTCGGGATTCCATTGGGAATGATCTGTTGAATAATCAAATCCATGCAACGCGATGAATCAGTATTCATAGCAACGTTTTTAATTTCAGTCTTTGACAAAGCGTTGTAGAAAAAGCGAACTGAATCTTCAGTATGACAGCGAAACCAAATCGTCTCGCAATCCTTGAGTTGAGGTCCCACCATAAAATTCTCGATCCAACCTTTGATCAATTGATCATTGAAAGCACTGGAGTAGATAATCACTGTTGCTTCTTTCTTGATCGATGCGTGGAAATTTGAAAAGAATCCCTCGAGGGCTTCTTTTGAAGAATTCTCACGCAGTACTAATCCATCACCGACTTCAAATTGTTCAGAAGTGTATACTTCCCGTTGAATTGATGAGCGATCAGAAACAACAATTCGTCGCACGATCGAATCCTCTTGACGAAAGGAAAGTGAGAAAAGGGATGATCGACATTAAGCTCCATTTCATTTGAATTGGCAAACTTCTTGATCCAAATCCTCCAATCGACAAATAGAATCCGATAGACGTGGTCTCCAAAAACGACCGAAGGATCCCTTACGAGCATCCCTTGGAATCCTTGATTCACCTTGGCCAACTCATACACATCCCTTGGTTCCATTTGTTCCAACGCTTCCAATTTCAAATCGAAGCACAACTTCTCCATCGGAAATGACGTCAAATTCTTCATTTCGATTGACGCCATTCTTCCACCTATAAATAAAAAGATTAGACTTTGTTTTGACATAAAGAGGCGCTTTACCGACAACGGAAATGTTAGGAAATAGTGAAATTGAGATATAGCTGGAATAAGTCACAAACAAGTCAATCCATCAAGAAATCGACAACTGCTTCAAACAGTAACTTCATCATCGAACAATGTTTTATAAATTTATTCCGAGTGACAACAATAACGAAAAAAGCTAGTAAAACATAGCAAAAAGCAACAACATTCTGATCGGTCAACAATCTAAATCGAATAATCAAACAATAAATCTAAACAATCAAAAAAATTATAGCATTAAGCATCAAATCGATCATTTCACTCACGTCGAATCTAGAAAGCCAAAAAGTACGGGTCGAACGCATCTTTTTTCGTAACTGTAGTTTTATTTATCATGTAGATGCAATTTATTTCTCATGCATGTAGATGTAGATTCTCCATCCTTATTTCATTTCTGAGTATTCCATGAGTAAGGGTTCCTTGGTTAAATGGGATTTAACCATCGGACCAATCAACCCAAGTCTAAAAACCGACTACCAAATTTTTGGTTAGACACCATGCTCAGCGATCCAATAAACGACCAGCTTCAGGATTTCATACGTATCCATCTTAATAACTTTGGTAACTTACTAACTTTGTTCCGGATCTTTGCCAAAGACATTGTATCAAGCATAGAAGAGATACTCAGAAAGATTCTTCAGTTTGATTTTCTCACATTCTTCGTTGTTGTTGTTCTTCGATGATTTCCAATTTCCAAGTTGATCGTTCAGGGATTGATCTTCGACGACTGAATCGAATTCAAAAATCAGAGTTGTCTGCACGAATGCGTGGGGATATTGAAAAGAATCTCTCGACATCGTTCTCGAGAAGAATTTGACATTCAATTGATCAACGTCTTCAATTGTTTCAGGAATGCTTCGTGCTTGACTTCGATGATTGACGAATCATGAGAAGACCAAAGCTTCAATCCGTAACACGAAGCGATGCATTCGATCAAAGGATGGTGGGGATCGAAATCCAAGTAAAATCGTGGTGACTCAAGAAATTTCTTGGTGTAATTACCCAAAACTATTCAACAAAAAAAAGCAAAACAATTCCTTTGCGTCTTTTTTTCTCTGGAACCTCCTTTCCGTTGGAGTTCCAGAACTCCAACTTCAGATCGTAGCACAATTTCTCCATTGGGAACGTCTTGAGATTCAGCATCGAGAGCGAAAGAAACACATCTTCACCGGATCTACTCTCATCTTGATTCAACTTCTTCATCGGAAATGGTTGAGTTGATCCCTCAATCGTTCCATTTTCTTCTCCAATTGGTCATCGCCAATTGACGATCATTTGTACCTGAAATATAAAAGGTTAGACTTTTCGTGAAATTTAGATAACAAAACAATTTCAAAACCAGCGCTTTCACAACACTCATCATTCATAATGAGAAAAATTTCTCGATATCGATAAACGTTTCTAAGAATTTCACATTTAACCGCTCTTAACTAGCTAAAAGTATAGAATTCCCGCGAATTCACGACAAAATTTCATCTTTCTCAATAAAATTTCAAACTTTATTTGTAACAAAATGCAAGAATAATCAACGAAACAAGGAAACAATTAAAAGTGACTACAAACGATCAATTCTACAACAATAACGGGTACTTTGAAGATCAATGGTATTGCAAAGGATTATCTGGAATGAAATGAGAATGACCAATTTTAGCTGAAGTAATTGGCAACAGCCTTATCCGTACCTTGAAAACATGATGGTAAGCACGCAACAGAATAGTTCAAAAAGTGATCCCTTCATTGAGATGGCACGTAAAAGGTGTAAAAAATCGGAAAGCATATAAATGCTTTTAAAATGTAAAACCCAAAGCAGAAAGCCTTTTCCTTGAATCGATTCGACGACAAAAACACAAATCTGTCTCTTGGTTGTCAAACTCTTCTTCCGACAATTTCTTGGCCTTTTCAAAAAGTGGCAAACGATCATCTCCATGAATTTGTTTCATCCCCGGGTAATTTGTGCGAAGGGAAACAATTTCAGCCGGAATCTTGGAAGATGAAATAGATTTCATAGATGAGAACGAAGAAAGCGGCGTGTGGATTTTGGCTCGGAATTTCATGCTTGACGATCCATTCAACACGCCATTGAATTGGACGTGCGTAACGTTGGTAACGTCCCAAACAAACAAGTCCCAAAAAAAATTCGAACCAATCTGATTAGGGTTTTTGAAAAAGCGTCGTAACAAACGTGGAAGAGATCGTCGGATGTATGAAGGTGAGATGTATGCAGCAACCAAAGTCAATTGCATTACCACACTCGATCACGTAGATAGCGTCTCTGATTGCG